GAGACGATGCCCCCCGTGCCGTCTTCCCCTCCATCGTTGGTCGCCCACGTCATCAGGTGAGTTTCTGGTGTTCATATACATTAGTCTTCATCCATGCAAACACGTTTTTTAACTACTATCCGCTTGATGCACGCAGGGAAGTCCAGCCTAATAGGTCTCAGACCCACTAACAGGCACCTGATTTGAACCATAAAAGTTTAATTCCAGTCGAAAACGTGAGACATAAACATGAGAAAGTTTTTCTCTCCATACTGGGCCAATGCTTCATCCCGTAGTAGTTAAATTCTTAAGTTATACTTAGTGACTGGAAAACGACAGATCTGATTGTTCAGGCTACATCAGCGTTTATATCCGCGAACTCTGCCTTTTCTGCTTTTAAGCTTCGTTGGAGTACTTGTATAGGGTCGTATTATCTGCAGGTAATCTCTCACTGCAACAACAGAAAGTTGTTATTGGGCCACACACCGTCCAAGGTCTTCCACGGCTTGACAGATTTAATTAATTCAGTAATTGGAATTGATTGATCCGTCTAAGCAAGTAACATGTATAAGTTCTCGATAGTAAGTATTAATCTCATTGTTGAGTATTTTTGAGAAAGTGTGCTTTCATTGGCCCTAATCAAGCAATCCAACTGAAGCCTGGTTATGCACGTTATAAAATATCATGTTTTAAGTATCGCGACCCTTTAAGACAAATTTTTGAATTCTTTACGTCGGTACACAAAACGGTAGTCTGTAAAGCGGGATCTACATGTCGTTCTCTTAGCACAGAAACATGTTGCGAAATTTGCGGTCAAATTTCTACCAGTTACATTCAAGAGGTTTTTTGTCCTGTGGAGAGATACGATGAAACCTATGGATCCATGTTATTCACTGTTTCTTTTTCCGTTTATAGGGTGTCATGGTGGGTATGGGCCAGAAGGATAGCTACGTCGGCGATGAGGCCCAGTCGAAACGTGGTATTCTGACCCTGAAGTACCCCATCGAGCACGGCATCGTGACCAACTGGGATGACATGGAGAAGATCTGGCATCACACCTTCTACAACGAGC